AGCCATTTCATATATACCAACTAACTTGTTCACTTGAAAATAATTTGTCACACTTGTGCTATGAATTTCTCGTTCAATCTTCAAATCTGACCACATTTCAAAAAAAAAAAAAAGAGAGATAAAATCACACTTCAAGCGTTTGACATAGTATGCAGATAACATGAACAGATTTCGTCTCTGCAGCATATATATGATAACAGCAGGTAATTTTTGTCTAGCTGAAACTGACATTTTACCCTTTCATTGCAGCTATTGTCCAAGTATTGTTAGATCATGACGCTGGACTGATTAAAACGATTGGTCCTTCCAATGCAACCCCTCTTGTAACTGCTGCTTCTAAAGGACATATAGCTGTAGTTAATGAATTGTTGTCAAACGATTGTAGCTTGCTAGAAGTTTCTAGATCAAATGGAAAAAATGCATTGCACTTAGCTGCCAGGCAAGGGCATGTAGACATCATCAAGGCATTGCTTGACAAAGATCCTCAATTAGCTAGAAGGACAGACAAGAAAGGACAGACAGCACTGCATATGGCTGTGAAAGGAGTTAACTCTGAGGTTGTCAGATTGCTTCTCGAGGCTGATGCAGCCATTGTGATGTTGCCTGATAAATTTGGAAACACGGCATTACATGTAGCCACGAGAAAAAAGCGAGCAAAGGTATGTTACTGCTGCTTTAGTTTCTATAATTATTTTGACCTTTAACTTAATGTATAGAAAATTTACCTGAAACCAAATTGGATTTTCTTTTGCTGTTGATAACTACAAATTTACTTGATCACTATCATTAATCATGTAGTCTCATGCTCCAAGACTGTTTGTATCAGCATGATCATTACTATATTTGAAATTCTCAACAGACTTCTGATGATTTGTTCAACTTGTGAATACTGTCCAGTAAAAACATGCAATAATTTGCTTTCAGAGGCCATTGGAAGATCAGTCCTGCTTTTAATTAATAAGATAAACAGTGTAAAGATGAGAACTATTATTTTTGTGTATTTCTACTCTCTGGCATAACTATCCAGGTTACTTTCCACGTGTACAAAGTCATAGCATTAATAACAACTCTTTTGAGTACTTTCCAAGGGGACAGGATCCTAGTACTCGAAAATAATGGATCAGTAAGCTTACAAGGGGACAGGATCCTAGTATAGCTTATTAAATTGTGAAGAGTAATCACTTTATTGATGCATAGGATATCTCTTTGAAAATTGTGCAAACTAAAAAAATTGAGATGACCATGTAGTTTTCCTTATTGGTGCAGATGTGGTTGTTTGATAATAATAAAATTTTAAAACTTGTCGTGTGCTATGTGATATGAATGTTTTATTAATTGCAATTGGTTTATTTTATTTGCTAGTATATAAATTTAGTGCATTTATTTACATAGTCCAACTATTTCACATTATAAAATGTGAGGTCTGTTAAGAGGAAATTCAGTGAAGATATATGATCGAAACTATAACCTGATTATAGATACTTGAATTTGAATTGATTCGAGTTAAATCTATAGAAACTTTAACCCTATTAAATATCAAATTGACTGATGGAGTGGCTTGTAATTATAAATAAATGTGTGTTGATAAAAGAAATTGTTGTTATTTGTTTGCATCTCCACTATTTATAGCTATATCAGGAAATGTGTACCAAGTGTATAAATATTTCCCATGATGTTTGGCTAAGCTTATAATTTTAATATTTAGTATAATCTTCCTCATCTTGACTCATGGCGTTTACTTACATTGGTTTCTGGTTGTCCAACTATTTACTTTATTTATCTGAAAGTGAAACAGTATGCTCAATTGGTTTCTTATTATGGATGCTCTATCTAGAAACCTACCTACTCTTTGATCACTTATTTCTTTTTTCTATGCCTCCTTCGGCAACTTTGAAACACGTGTAACAAAATGCTGTTTGAATATCTCCTTGTGCAGATAGTTAACGAGTTATTACGTCTCCCTGATACCCATGTCAATGCACTGACCAGAGATCACAAAACAGCTCTTGACATTGCGGAAGATCTTCCCCTCTCTGAAGATTCTTCAGACATAAAGGAATGCCTGTGTCATTATGGTGCTGTTAGAGCTAATGAGTTGAACCAACCAAGGGACGAGTTACGGAAAACTGTAACTCAAATCAAGAATGATGTCCATTTCCAGCTTGAGCAAACTAAGAGAACAAACAAAAATGTCCATGGAATTGCTAAAGAACTGCGGAAACTCCATCGGGAAGGGATTAACAATGCCACCAACTCAGTGACTGTCGTGGCCGTGCTCTTTGCCACAGTTGCCTTTGCGGCAATTTTTACAGTGCCCGGTGGGGATAAAGATGATGGGACGGCTGTGGTTGTGCATAGTGCTTCTTTTAAAATCTTCTTCATCTTCAATGCCATTGCACTTTTTACTTCGCTAGCTGTTGTTGTAGTTCAAATTACATTGGTTAGAGGCGAGACGAAGGCCGAAAGACGTGTAGTAGGAGTTATTAACAAACTAATGTGGTTGGCTTCCGTTTGTACTTCACTGGCATTCATGGCATCGTCTTATATAGTGGTTGGACGCAAATATGAATGGGCTGCAATGTTGGTTACAGTTGTCGGAGGAGTGATAATGGGCGCAGTTCTTGGAACCATGACATATTATGTGGTAAAGTCGAAGAGGACAAGATCAATTAGAAAAAGGGAAAGGCATGCTCGGAGCGGCTCCAACTCATGGCTTCACTCAGAGTTTTCAAACTCAGATATTGACCGCGTTTATGCCCTTTAATGGAAGACAGCGTAAAAGGGAGGAGATATGGGATGATTTACGATATAGTATCAAGGGCATGAAAGGTAATTTGCATGGCGGGTTTATTATCGTAAATAAGTAAATAACAATGTTGTAAGAACTTACTCAGCTGGTTCAACTGAAAAACCTGCACCATCTTAGAACCGGTCCAAGTATAGCTTAAAAACCGTACGTTATAAACCGGGTTCAGCCATTTGAACCGGCCATGGGTTAACCGGGCTTTTCGGTTGTATATCTCTTTAAAAATGATCTTTTTTTGTCAAGGAGCGGTTAAGGCTTGACATATATGATAGTATGATACTATGCTGTTATGAATGATTTTCGAAGCCATTACCTTTTCTGAACGTGCAAACTAAAAGTAATTCATAAATTAGAAATATAGTTGTTATATTAAGATATGATGGTTAGTTACTATAGTGCTTTATGCGCTCTACATCAAGTTCTAGACGTTCACATCGACCTTCTAGAAACCCAAGTGCTTATAAAGTAGATTATTCGTAGCCCAATTATATTAAAAAAATAAATATTATTCTCGTTTCATGGATTATTATTCTCTTCTGTTGGATTTATTGCTACATAAGAAAATCAAAAAATATAAGAAAAACTTTTGGGAAGCATTAGATATCTGCAGTTTCTTTTTGTAGACAAATGTTGAAGTTGGGTGGGGAAAGAATTTCTTGTTATGTGGTGATCAGTGCCCTACAGTGCTGAACATCATCAATTGATCTTTTTTAGAGGCTTCCTTTTTATCGTCAATTTTGTCAAATATCTGGCTGACAGATTTACATAGTTTAAGGTTGTGTATATTCCACTTGGGACAAAATGAATCCACTTGAAAGCTGTCGTCTGTCATGTCTGAATCCGGTTTATCTGCTCTATTTGAATTCATTTTTCTTCAAAAATGGGGGAAACTTCAGGCGGTTTCGAGAGGCGATCGGCTGCCAGGTGTTTACTGGGTCGGGTGGGTTAGAAGTTTAAAATAGATTGAGTTGGTTCGGTAAGTTAATAATTTAAAAAAATAAAAAATTATTATGCCCCGCCCGTCGGGTCTAGACTTACATGTATTGCATTCTATTAGAATATGCATGGGCCTAAATATCGAAACCCGGTTCCACCTTGTCTATTTTTGCCTAGCTAGATAGGCTTTTGACTACGATTTCCTCCTTCACTAATATAAGTACTGTTACTCTATTGGAATTTGATTAATAACTCCATGATTACTTTCAAAATTCTTCGATTATAGGTAAAGTAGGGGCATATTGTTTTACGATAAACTAAAATTATTTGAAACATTGATTATAGAATTGAACTGAGTAACGGAAAAGAAGTTCATTGCTTGCCTTTAAATTTATTGAAAACAAAGTAAAAGTAGATTATGACGTTAGTTTAATCCATATGAGCTCATATATAAAGTGGTTTAAGGTTACCTTTCGTCTCGAAATGTATCAATTTCTTTGAAAAATGAAGTGAGATTCGAATTCAACAACGAATTTGAGTCTAGTAGTAGCTTTACTCTACTTTTTGAATTTGAACATCTTGGATAGATCGCTTATGCAATGATCGGAGTTCTACTCACGGCACTTGAATTACGGGAATTTGTACTTTGGAGGAAAGGGGCTATAGTATACGCTATGGGCGCAGCAGGAACCATAAAAATCTAAAAATGAATTGAATTTATTTAATTGCCTAGAATTATTTTTAAAAATAAACACAATTATAATAGTTGCAATAATATCCAAGTATATTAATACTTGCTTAGCTTCTAGAAAATGGAATATGGCGCCATGTAATAATGCCGAATAAATATAATTTTGCGCTCTAGATTTAACATTAGAGTGATTACAAAATGTGACATTTTATATCGACAAACTTCAAGTTAAAATTGAAATCTACTACACAGACATAGTACTTCTAATATTTCTACACATTTGCAAAAAGACTGCAAAATAAACTCGGTGCAAGTTTAGAACAGAACATTTAACATGGGAAAAACCCCCCACGTACAGGTGGGGGTTTCACAGGGGCCTGCGAGGCCTCTCACGGCCTGGCGAGCCCCACATGTTTTAAAAAAAGAAAAAAAAAACATCCCCTCCCCACTATGTGTCTTGCCTGTAAACCACCCACCCCCCTTTTCCCAGTACATCTAGCATATCCCTTTAACATGACTCGACCATTTCTTCTTTAATACTATCTTGTAGCATTCAATCCAAACATACTATCCTCGTCTTCCTCTACCCCTGCAAAGCTCTGGTCTTTCTTGATCATCAAAAACCACTCTCGAAGCGGACATTGAACAAAACCCAAGATCACTAACAGTCTTTCTTGAAGAAATTTCTTGCTGATGAGACCTTTTACAATGTGCAATGGCTGCCTGAATTGAGTTCTCAAGCTCTGATTTTCCACTTATACTTCTGTTCAAAAACTTCGTCTCCTGAAATCCATTAGAATCCGTTGAACTCGAACTCAAACCTGAATTCGAAGAATTAGATGATGAAGACAAGGCTGAAGATTTAGCCTTTGATGTTCTCTTAATGGCTCCTGAAAATGATTTTCTTTGACATTTTGTCTGAATTTGCCCAAATGGGATATTTTTAGAGGTCTTGGAATGTTGCAATGCACATTTTTTGGCCTTTGAAATTGATCCTTCACAAACAATATTTCTTGAGGACTCAACTGAGCAACTAGATTTGGTGAACAAAGATTTGAGATAAGCCTGGGAAGCTTTGAGTTTGGATCCAATTGTGGATTGCTTAATAAGTTTTAGAGGTTTTGTCCATGACTTGTTTGTGTTCGAATTGGCCGGTTCTTCCTCGAAACCCTGTTGAGAAAAATCACGATCAGATAACGATAGAATATAACACACAGCAACATGTAAACAATTAGGCTGAGGCAAGGGTATTTCGCTCTCCTTAAGGCTTCGGTATCATGATTTACAATAGCCCAACTGAGACAGGTTTAGCTCTAACCAATCCACGAACTCAAAGATCCATACTTTTCATTCGTCACTAATACTCTCGTAAGAAGTGAAAGAATATATTATCAGAGTAATTCCAAAGAGATACGAGATATTTATAGATTTTATTAAAAAATTCTACTATCTATAATTTGTATATATCGATTTTCATGTTCTTCACTAACTGTCATATTCAAGAAGGATGATACGATTATACAAGTAACGATGATCTATGATCTCTAGTGTTAAGGGTTAAATTCCACATGATTAAAGATGAAAACATCGAACAACATATAAGAGCTTGGGCTAGTAGAACTCACATAAGTGCTCGATTGATCAGTCGAATATTCAAGAAAATATTCGTCCGGATAGAGTTCTCTGCTAACTTGGCAAGAATCAGCGGGAGAAATATTGCACGACTCAAACGGAGTATTGGATGCAGGAGTGAAAAATGGAGTGCTCAATAAAGATTCTTGCAATGGTTCAAAAGTGGTAGAGGAATAATTATTATGTAGGATTTTCTCCACCATTTGGAGGCGGGGTGGGAGGTGGAGGGGGAGGAGTTTTCCTTTGTAAAAGAGCTCGTCCGCCGGAGAAGTGGTGGTGTCTCGGCCTGAGGAGCACGAAAAACTGTGGAACTCAAATTCTTCTCTATGGTGTGAAGGTGAAAAAATGGTGGCTGATGAACCAACTTCCATGTCAATGCAGCTTTCATTTGCATCCATATTCTCTCTGGAGAATATATACACACACAAACACGAAGTGGAATGGGAGGTTTGGGGAAGAAATGGAGGGGAAGAGCATCATTTTAAAAACGTGGTGGATGAGAAATGTGAAATCAGAAGATCAGGAAGTTTGTCTTTACCCTTCCTCCACTCATCCATGTAGGACATGTTACCTACCAAAATTTTTGTTCACTTCTGTTGAGTTCACTTATCAAGTATTGCCCCTGCACAACACTAATACTCAATTTTGCTAAATCGACTCTCATCAAGAATTCATACATCCCTTATTAATGTATGCATGGGTATAGATAGGTACAACCACAATAGAAAAAGAAAATTGAGCACCTAACAATGCATCTTCAAATCCAAAAAATTACGAGATCATCCGTTCTTTCGGGGTTGACGAAGGGATGGTATCATTCGAGCCTCTTTAATGTTTTTTCCTAGAGGTCTGAAGAAAGCTTCTGCACTAGAACCACCTATATGATCAGATTGGACGGTGAATCGAAACATAGTTTACATGTGTTAAGCACATTGATAATGGTTGGAGAAGAAAGATATTTGGTGATTTGAAGAATATTTGCTAATATTGAAGAAAATATTATGGCATGATTTGGAGAATATTGGTTGATGATAATTAGAATGTTCCATAATTTGTTATATTCTTACCGTAATTGTCTCATTTATAATAAGACAACATTATTGTAATATGATTATATATGTGTCATTGTAACACTTTGGATATAAGTGAATATAGTCTTCTCTCTTCTCCCGTGAATGTAGGTTTGTCACACTGGCTTCAAACCACGTAATTCTTTGTGTTCTTTTTTATATATTCAATTTTTCAGTAATAGCTTCTTAGTGCTTAGAGCAATTCCTTAACTAGTCGATGCTTTCGAACATAAACCGAGCTAGTAATCAGTGTCTTTATAGACTAAAAATTATTCTTAAATAACTGGAATGACACTCGATCAACAGGCCAATTTAATCAGAAGTGAATGAACTGACCATGACTTGACCCAGTTTCACTCTGAGCTAAATATTTCATCATTTTTCAATTTCAATCAGCACTTTTTATTCAAAGTGCAATGCAATTTCAACCAGATTTTCAGGTTGATATTAAAAAATTTATTACTCAAATAAGAACAAATTATTCTTTGTTTCTTTAAGTTTAAAAGTTATATTTAAGTAAATAATATCTTTCTTTTCTAAGTCTCATCGGTCTTTTTACTTTTCAATAACTCGGGATTTAATCTCATAGATATGATAAATCTTTCGCATGTAAATTCAATGAATGAATTACCTCTCGATGATCTTGAATT